GCTTAAGCAATCCTCTGGTATCTCCTAAGCAATTTTTCGCTTTCACTCTTGGTCGCTTAAGTGATTTTAGATCGCTTAAGCGATCATTTGAGAAAAAATCTTGGTCGCTTAAGAAATATATGTGGTCGCTCATATATCGCTTAAACGATCATGACAAAAAGAGAAGAATCCTACATTTCTCCTGAATTATGTAATAATCTGTCTTTATAGAGCTAATTTCGAAATAACTCATTTTCCTCCCAAATTCGAAAAGAATAAGCAGCAAAATGAAGTCATTTATATCAATCTAATCCATATAGAGCTAATTTCGAAATAACTCATTTTCCTCCCAAATTCGAAAAGAATAAGCAGCAAAATGAAGTCATTTATATCAATCTAATCCATCACAAATCAAAATATAAGAGACATCAATGTAATTGAAAGTTTAAACTTAAAATCATTTATAATAGTGCCAAAACAGAATAAATCCTAAGCCACTTTGACAAATTTTGGAATTCGGTATAATCACTGTCTGAGATCATTCTTTGGTACCATGCCTTGCAAGCAGCCTTGATTGCAGATGCCGCCACTTTGAGAAGTTTTCAAATTTGGTGTAATCACTGTTTGAGATCATTTCATGGTACCATGGCTTGCCAGCAGCCTTGATTGCAGATGCCTCCTCCTGGCCACCAGCCTTGATTGCAGATGCCTTGCCGGCAGCCTACTCTAATAACCCAAGCCAGTTTGAGGAGTTCCCTCTCATTGTTTGCCAGCAACCTGCAAAATTATCCGGCACACCTGCAGCTACGTCAGCTTTTCCAAATAAAACACAAAAAAACAAAAAGTTTTTCAGGGCCAATTTGTTAAATGGAAAGTTGGGATGTCCGGGGAGTAAAATGTTTTATCTTCACGAACCGAAGTTATGGAGTGCAAGATTTAAAAGTTCACTAAGTCCATCTATTTCGGTAAAGCTGTCTATAAGCATGACACCTGCAGCATCAGCACCACAAACAAAGAATCAACATCAACATCACATAAACTACAAAATTAAAAGTACAAGTTCCAAACCTTTTGATTGGGTTGTGGTCACTCAAAACGGATCCATTTCCCCATGGAAGCACTCAACAGCCCAGCGCTCCCAAAATCTGGTCATTGTTTCATCATTCAATCTATCCATCGGGCTGTTGGTCATGTCAAACTGAATAAATTTCAGGGCATATGCCCCACAATCAGCATTGCAATAGGAAGATGACATTAGCATTAGAATCAGCTTATAGAACAATTGTATTATGTATGTTAGTTTTATACAAAATTTACCTTGACTCATTTGTTGGGACGGGAACGCGCTTGAGTGGCCACTTTCCCGTCAATGCTTCATCACTGAGGTGCTCAAACATCCCACTCTCGCGTAACAGCCGCGGGAACAACACGGATAATGGCTCCAACTCGGCCTCCAATTGCCTGTCTCAACAAATTGTTAGGTTGCAGTCAAGGATCTTCAGCAACCTCTCCTCTAAGAGTGTGACGACTGCTATCCAGTGCATTTCCTTGACCAGGATGATGCAGTAGACACTTTTAACCTCTGCCCAACTGTGGTCATTTTGGGCCTGTCCCCATTACATACTACATCATCATGTCATCAAACTTAAAATCATTAGGGACGTAGTCCAAGTCTTCTGTGCCCGATCGTTTTCGCTTGGCTCCTTTTGCTACAGATGTACCAATGGCCTTTTTCAATAAATTGCGATATGTCGACACCAGTGTTTGGCCAAAGGCCACATTGGTGATGGCACAATCGAGATACAGTACATCACTATTGCTGGTTTGTCGCAGCCTCATCAGTGCCAATACCTCATCGATGTGCTGCATCAAATAAAAACAACATGATAAGTATACAATACCTCATGGAAAACATAAGCAAAAATAAGGAAAATTAAGCGCAAATAACTCACCGAGTCGTGAAGCCAGCTGCCCATCATCAAAATCTTTTCAAACCAATCCCGAGAATAATGCCCGGTCTTACACTTTACAAGGGCATCACTTCCGGATTCATTGTAATAGGCATAGAAGGGTTTTTTCTTTTCCTCCTCTATTGGCCTATACAAATTGACAGTGGACTCCATTTTTGCTTGCCCGCTTCCTCCCCCTTCCTCCATTTGTACATCCCCACTTCCTTCACCTCCCACCTCAACCTCCTCCATTATAACTGTCCCACTTCCTCCAGAAACCTCTTTAACCCCCTCAATTTTGGCTTCTTCCTCAATTTGTTTCTTTTTTTTTCCTCTTAATTCCACGTGTTAGTATAGTGTAAGGCAATTTCACAAACCTGCTCTTTCGGCTCTCTCTTTTCAGCCTAGGTACTGCCTTCAATACTCCACCAACTTCCTCTTGCACCCTACCAACTTCCTCTTCCACCCTAACAACTTTCTCTGCCACCTTATCCACTTTCTCCTCCACCCTTTTCAACTGTTCTTCCATCTTATCAAACAAACTCTTTATGAGGTCAACCACCTCACTCTCCCGACCCCGATGCCTTGGCAAAGTGGTACTTGTTGTACCGATTTGCGGAGGCATATGAACCTCTTCCTCCCTCCCCTCCTCCTCCCTCCCACCGATTACGGCTTCATCCTCCTCGGCGTCAACCACATTCTCAAGCAGTGGCCCTGCAACTGCCCTCACATGTGTGACCCCTTGTAGGTCCTGCGTCAGGCGGTCTATCCCTTCATCCCTTTGATCCTCCGGTGCTCGGAAAGATGTGACATAGTGTTGTTGCGCTTCACCCCCAGTAGGGGTGAGGAAGGGACGGACAACCCTCTACAATAAGAAACAAAATCAATCAGATTTAAGCGACATTTTAAAGCAAGTGCATGTTCAAAAGCTTAATCCTTTAATCTTACCCAAGCTGATTGAATTTCAATCTCTATTTGCTTATAATCCGAATGGGTACACTTCTGGTCGTGCCACCGTAACATCCTAGGAAATGTTTGTTGCACAACCGAAGCCCTAATCCTCCCCCTACCTTAGCTAGGACAGGGATAGCCTTATACATCCAAGCCTGCATTGTAAAAAAACAGTCCATATCATAATTCAAACACATATATTAAAAAAAAATATAACAAAAAGCTATTAATATTTACCTGCATTGCCCATGGGAAGCCAAACAAATTGTACGTCGCTGGTCTATTCTTCTCGGCCCATTGGAAGTGCTTTAACGCCAGGTCTTTTACTTGTAGGGACTTCATGGTTCGCTTAAATGATACCCGTCCCCACAGATAAGCATTAAAGAAGTTCAAATTGCTTACAAACTTCACCCAATCAATATCAACAGCTTTTGTTGAGTCACTAGTCATTAGGATCGAATGTAAGAACAATACCAAGTACAGTTTGAACATCTGTGAATCGTTAAACTCACCATCTTTTAACCTGTCCTCTAATTCTTGTGCCTTAATAGACTTGTTCCCCGCCAAAACCTTGTTAGCCAACCTTTTGGCTCCCGTACTGTCCGTTATTCTTTTTTCCTCAACCTCACCTGGCAATTCCTCACATCTTAAGCCAGTCACCAACGCATATTCCATCATCCCGAAACGTAGTGGCTTTCCATCCACCATGAACCACATTTCGTGCTTGTTGTTGCTTTTTATTGCTTTTTATTGAGTGCAACAACATATAATGCACTCCTGACCCCCAGAATGTCTTTTTCCATTTGGTGTCCATATCCCAAAAATGACTGAAACAAGTCTCTTTGAATCTCCTTTCACCATTCCTCACTATCCCTAAAATCCCCGTTATTCTCGTTTAAACATCCCAACTTGACCTCACTGTCACCCTCATAGGGAAGTACGGTACCGTATCGTTTACAACCTCCAATCCGTAATCTCTATAGTTTACGCTCCGGAAAATCTACACAATCGATATAAACAAAATATCAGCAAAAAAATTAAACCAAATCAAATATAAACAAAATAAGCTCTTGAAGAATCGCTTAAGCGATGGGCAGATGATTATGCCTCATACAAGATCTCTTAAGCGATTCGACACTTTTACTTTTAAGCGATCTGAAATTACTTAAGCGATACAAAGGATCGCTTAAGAGATTATAGATCTGGGCAGATTTGGTTCTGCCTCAGAAGAGATCGCTTAAGCGATCTTAAATCGTTTAAACGACCAAGAGTAAAGGCGATTCATCACTTTTACTCTTCGTCGCTTAAGCGATTACAGATCGCTTAAGAGATCATGTACGAGGCAGAATCAACATCTACCAGGTCTAAGATCGCTTAAGCGATTGTTTATATCGCTTAAGCGATTCATCGCTTTTACTCTTAAGCAACCCTAAATAGCTTAAGCGACCAAGAATAAAAGCCATCAATCGCTTAAGCGATACAAAGGATTGCTTAAGCGATCTTAGGTCTCGGCAAGTACAAATACCTTTTCTTCGACAGCCTCCTCCTCTTTGGCGGCCTCCTCCTCTGCGGCCTCCTCGTCCTCGTCTGAACTCTCGTCGGACTCCTCTTCCTAGCCTGAATTCTGCCCGGCCTCCTCTTCCTCTTCAAAACCGTTTTGCTCATGTTCTCTCTCTTGTTGTGCCGCCGTCGTCTCCGCTGCTGGAACACCTTCACTGATCGAAGGATCCACCGGAGCAGCCATTGAACTGCTTGCACAACTAGACTCTACGATTTGAAGAGGCGTTGGGTTTTCCTCCTCATTGTGAATGTCAGCCATGGTTTTAAGAAAGGAAGAAGCTTTAGAATTGAATTTGGGTGTGAAAATTTGCTAGAATGTGGACTGTTATCGTCGGAAATTGCAAAGAATGTGTTTAGGGATTGAAAATATCGATTTTTGCCTTAATTGGTTTGGATTAAGGATTTGAATGGGTGGGGCTCTTTTTTAAATTTCAAATTTTAAAAGCTTCCATTAATTATGATTTTGTCCTTATATGTTTTAATCTTTTTATTTTAACATATTTTATATGTTTAATGGATCTTAACTATGTCACATCAGCTTCTCTAAATTAAAAAAAATGAAAAACAATTTCAACGTCATTTTCTTAAATCGAAACTTGGGAGCCGGTCAACTAAATTTTCTCGTTTTGAAGAAGGTGAAGTTTTAAACAACTAAACAAGTGAAAAAGTAGATCAATTTCGAGTCTCGATCCGTACTGTTCACATTACTTGTCTTTGTCTCTCTCTTTCTTTCACTTTGAAACTCTAGGGTTCGGTTAGCGCCTAAAACGACATTAAAATGTCTCAAAACGGCAAATTGATGCCTAATCTTGACCAACAAAGCACCAAACTCCTCAATCTCACTGTTCTTCAGCGAATCGACCCTTTCATTGAAGAAATTCTCATCACCGCTGCTCATGTCACCTTCTACGAGTTCAACATTGACCTCAGCCAATGGGTGCCCTTCGCTTTATTCATTTATTATTATTTTTTTATTTTTTTAATCAAAAGCTTTGGCTGATTGTTTTGTTTGTGTGTTTTTAGAGTCGCAAGGATGTTGAAGGATCTCTTTTTGTTGTCAAAAGGTGAGAATTCTCTCTTTGGATTTTGCTTTTTAATCGGGTGTTTGTTGTAATTGGGAATCGTTTTTCTTTTTGTTACACGGGTAGTGTTAAGATTTTATTTGTAATCTGGGTCTTTAAGAGTTTTTGTGATTGATGTCAGGAATACGCAACCTCGGTTTCAGTTTGTTGTGATGAATCGACGCAATACAGGTTGGTTTTTGTTTTCACTGTTTAATCTTCTGTTTTACTAGTTTTTGGGATTAGTTGATTAATTTGGCAATTCTTATTCTATGATGTTATTTTATCATAGTTCTATAGCTTAAGTAAGGGTTTTAAAACTAAGAAGAGGATGGACCAATGGCAATATTAGTTTGCCAATGATATATAGGCTTTTCTATTTTACAATAGTCTGGGACAACTGTTATCTTGAAGTTTTGATGTGACAATATCAAGGTTGTACTGGGTTGATGAGGGTTTTTTATTTTGTGTTCTTTCTCTTATTTGAAGATTATTCTTTCATCTAGTGGTCTCTCTGTCTTTAAGTCAGTTACTTGCCATCTCATGATAACCAGAAATAGTGGGCGTTGAATGAGTTATTTGGATACCATATAATCTGAACTATGATTGCTTTATCTAATTATTATCATTTTAAGCATTTTTGGTTATTAATGTTCAGAGCTATATCTTATAATGTTGCCATAGTGATGTCTTTTTTAATAGCCTTCACATCTGTATATAAATATGTTTGCACTAATAGGCTTCAATATATTGGTTTAAGCAGATAATTTGGTGGAAAATCTCTTGGGAGATTTTGAGTATGAAGTCCAGGTCCCATATTTATTGTATCGAAATGCATCTCAAGAAGTAAATGGTATTTGGTTCTACAATGCACGTGAATGTGAAGAGGTTGCAAATCTCTTTAACAGGTATTAGTTGTTTTACTATGATAGTTATTTATCTGCAATTTTAAAATATTTTCTCATGTTGATAGTTAATGTTGTTAAATTTTTCTCGGGTTGATATTTAATACTGTAGACAATACTATGTATGTTCTCAACCAAATTTGCTTTACATGGGGAATGGAGTTTCAAGTTATAGATTATGGTCACTCCATGTTGTTGAGTTGGATTGTGAATTTGCCATAGGCCTCATGAACATGTGACCAAGGAGAGTAGTTCACAGAACTTTCAATTTATTTGATGAACTGCAGGCCAGAAAAATTCCATACATAGTATGCTAGCATCTTTTTAAAAGTTCAATTATGTCTCATATTCACTTCTATAGAGTTTTTTTAATCTGCTTCAACACCATAGAAATATTTTGTTGGTTGTATGCATCTGAAAAAATATACCAATTCAAGGAATGTGATTGTTTTGTATTGACTTTCAAAGGATAAATACATTGCTTTGGCCTATGAGTATGGCTTTCAAGCAGAATTGTTAGGTTTTATATTCGTAAAATTTTTGATGCTATGTATAGGAATTAGGAAGTAAGGATCCCAACTGATGTGATTGTTTATGACAACATCACATTAATTATAGGAAAGGAACATCACTTATCTCATCATCCTACAATCAATGTGGTATTGCCACATCAATAACCACATCGGTTGGGATCCCCACTTCGTAAATGTAGCATTAATATTGAAAAATTCATAACATGTATAGATCCTTGGTTTGCAAATCAGTTAGGATGACCATTTATATTGTTCTCTTGACATATATTTTAATAAAATGTTATATTTGAGTTTGCTGTTAGCGAGTTAAAGTAGAAAATATTGTTTTGTAGAGCTGTATGAAAACACACTTTGAGATAATGGGATTTTTAGTTTTATAGAACTTGCTGTTGCGTTAAAATCTACTTCTTTTTTTTTCTTATGTTATAAGATTTTCACTTTGCCGATCCTGCTCCTTGTATACATTATCTTCTGGTTTCAGCCCTTACCTACTCATCTTGTTTGTACTCAATTAAAGTTTTAATGGGAAGTTGAATCTAGTTATAGTTCTTTATGGGTAACAGTTGATAGGACAATGAGCCGAAAAGAGAAATTTTGAAGTGTAAATTTTAATAAAAATTTCTTTACGAGACCATGATCATTTAAATTTGTGGCTTTTAATGTAAAATGTAACTCTAAAATAGGTACCAGGAGGGCTACAGGAACTAGATGGTTGACCATGCTATACACTCAATCCTTGATAAGAAGGTGCAGTAGATATCTAATTTGTTCATCACATATGACTTGTTAATAAATTTACTAGTGAATGTTCTTTTGCAAGACTTATTGTATCATTCAAGATTAAATGGTTATTGTTAGCATGCTCCATGTAAATAAGTCTTTGGGAAATCCAAGGCAACAAAATCTCTTGGTGGGAAGTGTAGCAGCTGATAATGTAGAATTTTTAGGAAATATAACTTACATATGGATTTTATTGTGAATGTTCTTTTCTGGGACCTATTGTGTTGAGCAGGATCAGATTGCTATTGATAATATGGTTTATAGGGTATCCATAATGGATTCTTTGGGCAGTTAAAATGCTATAAAATTGCTCTTGGTGGAAATCTAGCTGCTGATGACGTATAATTGCATGTTTTCTAATCATTCCCATTATGTACTCCAATCTAGTTCTCATTTTGTGCAGTAATGCATGTAGCATAAGTGGGAAGAAGGAAACAATGAAACTATTTAAGTAAGAGAGGGAAAGAAGTTAGTGTGCTGTCCCCCAAAGTCAAAATTTTGAATCTCTTTGGCTTTAGTTTCAAAGGATTTTCAGGATGCATCTTTATTCTTTATTTTCCATAAATTGGGAACGTGTATTGCTATGATTCTGTTTGGTTTTTTTGATGGATGTATCGCTGTTAGATTTCTACAGTGCCATATTGTAGATTATATTCACACATTTGGGAGTGTTTTGTGTACCTCTTTGACCCTCTGTCAGGAGAAACACCTGAATAGTGGACCACTGGTCCACCTTTTTACTTTCTTTCATTGTTTTGGCACAATACCTCTATGTTTCCTATAAAATAATAATAATACCCGCTAGGAAACATAATAATACTGGTATTATTTCATCATATATGGAAATGACAACAGCGTATTTTTGTTAGAGCTTAGGAGTTCATTGATGTAATTTATTGTGTTATATTTGTAATAGTTGCAATAGGTTTGGAGAGTGCGTTATAGTTTAGTTCATCGTGACTTTTAATGATAGGACTCCTGGATACCATTTGTGGGAAATGTTCTCTTGACTCAAGTATATTGCATTTGTTATCTGTTTACTTTTTACTTTTCACTAGTAAAATTGTTATTAGTCAATTATGATTGTGAATATTAAATATTTTCAATGATTTCATCCTGATGTTTTTTTATTTTTTCCTAAATACAGAATTCTCAATGCATATGTCAAGGTGCCTCAAAAGTCAATGGTATCATCTACTAAAAGGTAATGATTGATCCAATTTATCTTGACGAAGTCTTGTTATTGGGAAAGCATAATTTCTTCAGAAGCTTTCTGTATTATTCTCTTATAAAGTATTCTTTTAAATCCTCTTGGAATTNATAAACCCTATATGTTCAGCATAGCATTAATCGCTAAACCGATGCTCTGAAATACAATAAATAATATCCGAATACATAGGAACACTTAAGCGATTCTTTACTTTTACTCCTACTCGCTTAAGCGATCGGTAATCGATTAAGAGATCTAGCTCGCAGCAGATGCCCAGATCGAAAATCGCTTAAGCTATCCACTTGTATCGCTTAAGTGATTTTCATAAAACACTCTTGATCGTTTAAGCGATCTCAAATCGCTTAAGTGATCTTGGCCAAGGCAGAATGGATCTGCCCAGATCTATGATCGCTTAAGTGATCTTGTCTTGGACAGTGAATATCTGCCTATATCTATGATCACTTAGGCGATCTTATGTATCGCTTAAGCGATTCATTGCTTTTACTCCTGGTCGCTGAAGCTATCCATCTGTATCGCTTATGCGATTTTCATAAAACACTCTTGATCGCTTAAGCGATCTCAAATTCGCTTAAGCGATCTTGGCCAAGGCAGAATGAATCTGCCCAGATCTATGATCGCTTAAGAGATCTTGTCCTGGGCAAAATGAATATCTGCCCAGATCTATGATCGCTTAAGCGATCTTGTCCTGGGCAGAATGAATATCTGCCCAGATCTATGATTGCTTAAGCAATCTTATGTATCGCTTAAGCGATGTTTCCTAAACGATGTTAGGAAACGACCCGGTTGCTCAGTGGAAAACAAAATTTTATACAACCGTAGATCGTTCCTTAAACCCAAAATCAAGGCACAAATTTTACAGTTTATGTATAATATCAAGAATCTGCAGAACATAAAATAAATCTAAAGTTTAGATTCATACCCACGTTTGGAGGCTCCACCAATATTGTCTCTGAACGTGTTTGCTACCGATCCAAGTGTAGGATCGAACTGTATAGGTCCACACGAAGACAATCAACAAGAACCAAGGAGGGATTTGCTAGATCCTCCTTGGCCTTAATGTTAGTAAATGGTCCCGTATACGCAGCGGAAACAAAAATTATAATATAACAAGATCGTTTACATGAGCCAAGATCAAGGGTATAATTTTACAATTTTATCAAAGCAAGAATATGCATAAATTAATAATCTGTGTTTAGAAACCATACGCACGTTTGGAGGCTCCACCACGATTGTCTTTGAACGTTTTGCTACCGATCCAAGTATAGGATCGAACCCACATAGTCCACACGAAGACAATCTCAAAAGAACCAAAGAGNTTTTATTGTTTTGTACCATGCCTTCCCAGCAGCCTTTATTGCAGATGCCTCCTCTCCTCTTGCCAACTAGCCTTTGTTTGAGAAGTTTCCTCTCATTGTTTGCCAAGAACCTGCAGACACGTCAACTTTTGTAAATAAAAAAAAAAACACGTAAATAAGTTACAGTGTGTGTAGGTGAGAAGTTCACTCAGTCCGTGTCTTTTGGTAAAGTTCCATATAAGCATGACACCTGCAACATCAGCACCACAACCCAAGTATCAACATCAACATCATATAAACTATAAAATTCAAAGTCCAACTTTCATACCTTTTTATTGGGTTCTGCTCACTCAAAACGGATCCATTTGCCCATGGAAGCAGTTGACAGCCCAGCCCTCCCGACAGTCTCTCATTGTTCCGTCATTCAACCCATCCAACGGGGTGTTGGTCATGTCTAACTCAATAAATTTCAGGGCATATACCCCACATTCAGCACTACAATAGGAAGAAGACATTAGCATTAGAAAAAACTTATAGAACAATTGTATTATATAAGTTAGTTTTATACAAAAATTACCTTGACTTATTTATTGGGCCGGTAGAGCGCTTAATTGGCCACTTTCCGGTTAATACTTGATCACCCAAGTGCCCAAACATCCTGCTATCATGCAACAGCTGCGGGAACAACATGGACAGTGGCTCCAACTCGACCTCCAACTGCTTGTCTCAACAAATAGTGGGGTTGCAGTCAAGGATCTTCAACAACCCCTCCTCGAGATACGCAACGACTGATATCCAATGATTCTCTTTGACGAGGATGATGCAGTACACTCTTTTAACAAAGGTCCAACTGTGGCCATATTTGGGCTGATTCCCCCGTATATATTGCATAATTCTGTCATCAAAATGATAATCATCAGGGATGCAGTCCAACTGTACTGGGGCCAATCTCTTTCGCTTCAGTCCTTTTACTGCACCACCAGCAACGACATTTTTAATTAAAGTGCGATATGCCGAAACAAACCTTTGGCCAAATGCCACATCAGTGATGGCACAATCGGGATAAAACAGATCACCACCAGTAGTCTGTCGTAGCCTCATCAGTGTCAATATCTCATCGATGTGCTGCATTAAATAAAAACAACAAGATAAGTATGGAAAACATAGGCAAAAATAAGGAAAATTAAGTGAAAATAACTCATCGAGTCCTCAAGCCACGTGCCCATAGTCAACAACTTCCTAAACCATTCCTAGGGATAATCCCCTGTCTTACACTTTATATGTCCATTACTTCCTGATCCATTGTAATAGGCATAGAAGAGTTTTTTCTTTTCCTCTATTGACCTATACAAATCGACATTTGAGTGCAATTTCCCTTGCGCACTTCCTCCCGCTTCCTCCATTTTTACATCCCCGCTTCCTTTGCCTCCCTCCTCCATTATCATAGCCCCACTTCCTCCACCAACCTCCTTAACCCCCTCCATTTTTTGTTCTTCCTCCATTTGTTTCTTAATTTTCCTCTTCTTTACTTGTGTCACTGCCATGTAAGGCGATTTCACAAACTTACTCTTTCGGCTCTCTCTTTTTAGCCCAGTTTGCACTTCAACCGCCTTTAATTCTCCACCAACTTCCTCCTCCACTATACCAGCTTTCTCTGTCATCTTATCCACTTTCTCCTCAACCCTTTTCATGTGCTCTTCCATCTTGTCAAACCTGTCATAAACAGCTATTGTAAAACTCTGAAACATGCCGTTTATGAGGTCAACCACCTCATTATCCTGACGTCGATGTCTCGGCAAAGCGGTACTTGTTGTACTGGTTTGCTTAGGCATACGAACCTCTTCCTCCCTCTTCTCCTCCTCCTCCTCGAACCTCCGACCGATTGGAGCTTCATCCTCCTCGACATCAACCACGTTGTGAAGTAATGGCCCCGTANTTTACTTGTGTCACTACCATGTAAGGCGATTTCACAAACTTGCTCTTCCAGCTCTCTCTTTTCAAGCCAGTTTGCACTTCAACCGCCTTTAATTCTCCACCAACTTCCTCCTCCATTGTACCAACTTCCTCCTCCACTGTACCAACTTTCTCTCCCAGCTTATCCACTTTCTCCTCCACCCTTTTCATGCACTCTTCCATCTTGTCAAACCTTGCATAAACGGCTATTGTAAAACTCTCAAACAAGCCGTTTATGAGATCAACAACCTCATTCTCTCGACGTCGATGTCTCGGCATAGCGGTACTTGTTGTACTAGTTTGCTGAGGCATACGAACCTCTTCCTCCCTCTTCTCCTCCTCCTCCTCGGACCTCCGGCCGATTGGAGCTTCATCCTCCTCGACATCAACCACGTTGTGAAGTAGTGGCCCCGCAACTACCATTACATGCGTGACCCCTTTTAGGTCCCGCATCAGGCAGTCTATCCGTTCATTGCTTGTATCCTCCAGTGCTTTGAAAGATTTGACATAGTCCTCTTCCGCTTCAGCCCCAATAGCGGTGAGAAAGGGACGGACGACTCCCTGCACTAAGAAACAAAATCAATCAGATTGAAGTGACATTTTAAAGCAACTGCATATTCAAAAGCTTAGTCCTTTAATCTTACCCCAGCCGTTTGAATGTCAATGTCTATTTGATCGTAATCCGAATAGGTGTACCTCTGGACATGCCACCGTAACATCTTAGGAAATTGCTGTTGCACATCCAAACTGTTGCTCCTCGCCCCCCTAGCGAAGACAGGGATGGCCTTGTACATCCAAGCCTACATTGTAAAAAAAAAAAAAAAACAGTCCATATCATAATTCAAACACATATGTTACAAAAAATATAACAAAAAGCTATTAATATTTATCTGCATTGCCCATGGGAAGCCAAACAAATTGTATGTGCTTGGTTTATCCTTCCCCTCCCATTAGGACTGCTTTAACGCCATGTCTACTTTTTTTAAGTTGTTCATGGTTCGCTCATATGATTTTAGTCCCCATGGATAAAAATTAAAGAACTTCAAGTTTCTTGCAAACAACAACCAATCTTTCTCAACAACTTTTGTTGAGTCACCAACCAATAAGATCGAATGTAAAAACAAAACCAAGCACACTTTTATCTTCTCTGTATCAGTAAATTCAACTGTTTCTAGCCTATTCTCTAATACTTGTGCTGTAATAGACTTAGCCCTCTGCAAAACCTTATCATAAAACCGTCTGGCTCCCCGACTATTCTTCACTGCCTCTGCCTTCTTATTTGACACTTCCCCACATCCTAAGCCCGTCAACAGGGCATATTCCATCATGCCAAAACATAGTGGCTTTCCACCCACCACAAACCACATTTTTTTTTATTGCATCTTACTGAGTGCATCAACATGTAATGCACTCCCTCCCCCCAAAATGCCTTTTTCCAATGATTTTCGAGTCCTAAAAACCGACCGAAACAAGTGCGACTGAAATCTCTTTTACCATGCGTAATTCCATCTAAAATGTCCTGTATTCTATCAAAAACTTCCCAACTTGACCTGACAGTCACCCTTGTAGGGAAGTAGGGCACCTTATCGCTTATAAGGTCCAACTCATAGTGTGTAAAGTTTACGGTCAGCAAAATCTGAACAATAGATATAAACAAAATGTCAGCAACAAAAATAAACCAAAACAACTAATAAACAAAATATCAGCAGCAAAAACCAACACTGT